TTCTTAAATAAAATTGAGACCATAGATTCCCCAACACATCTAACTTTGTTATTAAAGAGTATCAGTGGGTATCCATTCATTCCTGATAAGTAGTGGCACAATTTAGCCAATATCATAAAGAATAATTTATTTTTTACAAATAAACATAACGTGTCTGCCGATATTTTGCATAATTTTATATAGAAATAGAAGTTAAACTAATTATTTTTTAAAGTGTAATTCATGTGTGATTTTTCTTATCTGTGGTAGTATGCTCGTAGATAACAGAATGTATACAAATCTGAAAATGAAAACATCATACATGTTATCTATGTTATCAACTAACCAAAAATAATTAAGTATAATAATTCAATTTTATATAAATAAGTAATTTTATTTCATGTTTTACTTATTCAGTAGTGTAGTTATTTCATTTTTCCTGTCGGATTCTTGCAGATTGACTGATTGAGAAAAACAAATCGCTTACTAAGATATTCTTCTTGCTGGACTTCATTTGTTGGTAAAATGTGAAATGGCTCTTTACCTTGGATGATTTTGCAGACGATTAAGGTGAGAATACATGCTATAAATAGGAAAAAGGGCATTACTGTAACCTTTTTTTGGTAATTTTTTTTTATGCACACTTTTTGCTGGGTTAACTAATTAGGTATATCTAAATTAATTGTATGAGTTCTCTTTCACTTCAGGATGCAGCAGCACCTGGAGGTATAAGTGCCTTTTTCCATTGTGTCATTATCACAACGAATTAGTAAGTAACAATATTAAGGAAAGTAAATGTAATCTTAGAAAGTTGTTTCCTTATTTGTTTATAGTTTTTAAACATTCTTAATTTGTATAATGCCTAATGGTATTTAGTACATTGTGTATCTGTTACTTTTATTTTCACCTTATCTAAGTTTATAAACATGATTTAGTGGAAGTTATTGTAAGCTAAATTATTTTTAAAGTTTTATTATTATATATGCGTATACAATATAGGTATTATAATTTTGTGATGCATGGCAAACATAATTCTGTTAGGTCTAATAAGATACTTCGTCAATTTTATTCAATTATTTAATTAACAGGTACAGTACCCATAAAGAAATATTATCAACCAGCAGGAGGGTCTTCATGCTGTTGGAAGTTCAATGCCCAGTAGTATCCTTTCAAATTCTTCAATTCTTCATGAGTTCCCATCTGAAAATATGTGTAAGTAGCAATTAATGCAAAAACCATAATTTAAAAACAAGTAAATTATATATTACCTCTACAATTCGACCTTTGTGTAAAACTACTATTATATCTGCATTTTGAATAGTGGATAAGCGATGTGCTATAACAAGTACTGTTCTTCCTTTGGCAGCTTGTTCTAAAGCAGTTTGCACTACTTTTTCTGATTCAGTATCTAATGCACTGAAAATTATTTGCTTTTAATAATCATAAAATTCTAAGCGTTTATGAAAAGGACATGTTTTGTATAGTTTACTTTTCCTTATTTACTAATAGTGCTTTTAATAAAGCAAGATAAATTTAATTAGAAATGCGTTATTTATAATAACTAATGAGCATAATTAAAAAAGAAAATATACCTGGTTGCTTCATCAAGTAAAAGAACCGACGGATTTTTCAAGAGAGCTCGAGCAATTGCAACTCTTTGTTTCTGACCTCCCGATAAAGCGATGCCTCTTTCACCAACAATAGTGTTATAAGCGTCTGGAAATCCTTTAATGAAGTTGTGAGCGTTCGCTAGTTTTGCAGCTTCTTCAACCTAACACAGAAAAGCTAATAGAAAATTGTGTTACAATAAAATTTAACATTTAATATAATATAAACATTTACTTGCTCATCTGAAGCATCCGGTTTTCCATAGCGAATATTTTCTAATATTGTAGTCCCAAAAAGAACAGGTTCTTGACTTATTAATCCTAATACATTACCTCTTAACCAAGAAGGATCGAGAGATTTTAAGTCATGTCCATCTAAGGTAATGATACCTCCATCAGTGTCATAAAATCTAAAAAAAATTAAATATCTTAAAATAATAAAGATAAGTCAAAGCAGCTGTTACAAAAATTCGAAAATGTAGAATTTATGAAATGAAAAGAACAAAAAAATCAACAGTATTAATTCAATTAAAAAAGTTACTGGCTCGAAACATTTACCTTTCTAAAAGTGCAACAATTGTAGATTTCCCATTACCAGAAGAACCTACAATGGCCACTGTTTTCCCAGACGATATCATAAGATTGAATTTGTGAAGAATTTTCTAGAAAGGCAAATAATGGAAATTTTAAAATTAATTTCATAAGATTATAAAAAATCAACCTGATCGGGACGCGTTGGATATGAAAATGTAACATTTTTAAATTGTATTTCTCCCTTTATTTCCTCAGTTGGCAAAACAACGCCTCCGCGAAGACGCATATTTGGTTCCAAATTGATATACTGAAAAATAGAACATACCCACGTTATTTTTATTAATAATGAAAATTCGTTTTCAACAATTCTAAAAAGTTTTTTGCAATACAGCTATGAATTATTATTTTAGAAAGGGCAGTAATAATTATCTATTCATTATGCATAATTACCTGAAAAACTCGACTACCTGCCGATAATCCTCTAATAACCGATCCAAACAAAAGGGAAATTTGTGCAAGAGAGCGTTGAATTGTTTGAGTTGCCATTAAATAAGCCATCAGGTCTCCAGCACTTAATTGATTTGTTGATAACAAATAACCACCCATATAAAGGGTTGATAAAACCATACTAAAATGTTTTAAGTTAATTTGAAATTATTACTCTGAAGCAAAGTTACATTTTACCCATTTAAAAAAAGGTTTGTGCCGGCTTGAAAGAGACCAATACCAAAACCGAGCTGTTCATTATAGACCATTGCAGTTTCTGCTTCTTTTCTGAATAATTCATTTTCCTGGTCTTCCATAGCAAATGCCCTCACTGTACGAATATTACTAATTGCTTCATCAGCAATTGCAGTTGCTTTTTCTATCTGCAATATTCATAAGCTTTGATAAAAAATCAACATAATGTCATGTTTTTATTTATGAATAAAACTGAACAAAGTTACCTGATTTTGTGCTGTTCTTGAAGTATTTCTTAACTTTGATCCAATAAAGGTTCCTGCAGCAATAACCGATGGTACACAAAGCAAAGTAATGAATGTCATATGAGGAGAAATGATAATTAATGAAGCAGCACAGCCCAGTATTTGAGTCACTGCCCTTAATCCTCCAGAAATAATTTGTTTAAAACTACTTTTAAAATCCTGAATATCAGCTGTTAGTCTGAAAATAAAGTCTTATCATTATTGAGAAACAATATTATCATATAAAAATACCTATTAACTAATTCTCCTGTTCTTTGCTCATCAAAGAATGCAATATCTTGTTTTAAAATTGAATTAAATAAATCAGTCCTCATTTTCAATGCAACATTTTCACCAATTTTGGAGAGCATGAATATATAAAAGAATGTGAATGTAGACTACAAAATAAAGTTGAACATATCAAAATGCGTGTGTCTAAATTTAAAATTTACCTGAGCAATATACATTATAATTAATTTAAAAGCAGGTATTTTCATATCTTGAAAGAATTTATTATGACCAGCTAAATCATTAGAATACTTTGCTACCACATTGATAACTTCACCCATCATTCTAGGAATTTGAATATTTAAAATTGCCACTATAAGGGTTCCCTACAAGGTTAATTTATAAACACGATTATTTTCAATGTAAAAAATACTTACGAGAATCGCAGCAAGTAAATACCATGTATGTGGCTCCAAATAGGACCAAAACTTTTGCCAGTCAAATTTGGCATCTTTATCACTCATAGTCCTGTAACCTGCCAATCTATTTTGACTAATTCTTGATTTGCACAGAACTACATTATTATTGTATAACGAAAAACTAAAGAGGCCTCCAGATATTGATAGTCCAATGCCAATTTTTTGGATTAATGAAGCACCTTTTGTGGAGTCCAAACATTTAGATGAATTTGTACTGGTATTTGTACAATGTCTCTTGAAATGCAATAGATTTGAATTTTTAGTTCTATAGGGGCTCAGCACTGATTTTAATCTGAAATTTAAATTATATACTTCCCATTAAAAAAAAAGAGGTACTTTATACCTAACCTTCCAAAGTTTCTTAAGTTGCAGTTATGGAATAATAAGGCATTCATAATTAAAATATGTTTAAACTTATGAGGATTTTAATATTTCAAATAATCGGTAATTAAACAAATTGTTAATACTTGTTAACTATTTACAATGTGCATTTAAAAAAGTTAATGCATTTTGACAGTTATGTAATTTTCTGTGTGTTTGACATCAAAGTGGTTGATAGTGTCTCCATTCCACCTGTATAATTATGTAATTTCGTTATAGATCTACGGTAGTATAGTTATTACAAAAAAGTTTTGTAACTTAACCTAACATTACAACTTGATCAATTTTCATATAACAATCAAACATTTTTTGTATATTTTTTTACCTAATGGATGTTTTTTATGTTTGCTCAATTTTCATAGCTGAATATGGATAACGTTTGTATAACATCGTTTTTAACTAAAACTCAACGTCTTATTTTAGGGTTTTTTATATTGCTTCTGGTGGATATTATTTGCGTTTCATTAGGCCAGCTTTCAAAGGTAAATGTATTTGCTAAACATTTGATTTGACTCCAGCATTTTACTACATTATATTTTTTCAGTATATGAATAACAATGAAGCATATGATAAGCCATTCTTTATCACTTACATACATTCCTGTATGTTTAGCATTTATTTGTTGGGGTTCTGTCTTTGGCCATCATGGAGGGATTATTGCAGCAGTCCTCGAAATTATATGGTTTAGTGTGAAACATAATATTTACTCTATTTTTCTTCTGGCAACATTTTGTTTTAGATAATTGATAACAACCTAGAGGATGACAATTTTTATCATGATAGCCATTCTAGTTTGGTATGTTATTCTGCTTTTTATAAATTATTTAAAAAAATAATAAAAAGTTATATTGTAGAGTAATCCAGTATATGTTCCTGTAAAGATATCTGATAGAGATAACATAGATAAAAGTTCAGGCACAGAAAGTGATGATACATGTACAAAATCAGTTCGTTTTAACAAATTAGCAGAGGTGAGACAAATGTCTGAATTGGAAGCTGCTGAAGCAATGATGGCAAGATTACCTTATCATGCCAGTGCAAAAGCAGAACATGGAAAAATAACATACAATTTACCAATATATAAAGTTATTAAACTTGCTTTTGTTGCTGGTTTATTGGTATGTATTCTGATTAAAATTAGTATTTGTGTTAGTTTTATGAACATTCAAGTATAATTTTTGCCAGATTAGTAAATACAAGCTGCCTAAAATTTATTTTTTTTAACATAGGCAATATATAAATTCAGTTACTTTTATGTTATGATTTGAAATGGGATATGAATAGACTTGTGGTGTAGTAATTTCATAAATTTCATATTCCATCATTTTTAGAAATGTGTTTTTATAGTTTAATTCAATGTTTATAGTGAACTATTTAATAAACATCATTATAATTTTTTTAAGGAACAGTTTTCAGTTAATATTGTATAATATTGATATTACTTTTGATAAAGCATTCATTAATTATTAAAATTGAGAAAAGTAAATGTCAAATTATTTTAACACTAGCTTGATAATGTAAAATACACAATATTATGAACCTAAGCTTAACAAAAGTTGAAGACGATTCTTAAAATCTGAGATTACTTATTACTTTTATTTTGCTTACTTCCATATCTCCATTAATTGTATTTTTTTAAAGTGGTTTATAGGAAATTATAGTCATGCATTAGCTTTAAAAATGGTACCCATTGAACTTGTAAACTTTTTGTCTTCAACATCAAGTATTTTTACTCTGGCTTTGTGTGATTTTTTACCTGCTAATCAAACAGATAAATTCACACTGTCAAAACTAATGGCTGTGTTTATAAGTATCTTAGGACTGGTAGGTAGTGGCTTATTTTCGTTAGAGATGTATTACCAAATGCATTTTATGTTTTCATTTAAAGGGATTTGTAATATTTTCAAAATCAAACATAGAATCTCCTATTCTCACGCAAGGAGCGCTCCTAGTATTTCTTCATGCGCTCTTTATTGCGTCCTATGCTGTATTTTTAAGGCGTAAGATTGATCATGAAGATAAAATTGACATTCCCTTATTTTTTGGTAAGGATAACTGCTTATTTTTTTCTTAAAAATGTCTTACAAAATTGTTTTAGTGTTTACTTGATAAAATAACATTATTTTTTAATTTTTAGGTTTTATTGGTCTTATAAATTTATTTGTATTGTGGCCTATCATGCTGTTTCTCAATTTAAATGATTGTGAGCGCATCGAATGGCCCACAAAGCATCAATGGTCTCACATTCTTTTAAACGGATTCATTGGGACAGTGATTTCAGAAGTTTTGTGGATATGGTAATCCTTTTTAGTAGAAATAGGAAAAACTTTTTTTATTCGTATGTTTATATGTTTTTCAGGGGTGCTTTCCTCACTTCTCCTCTTTTGGCGATAATGATGTTAAGTTTAATTCATCCGTTGACAATGTTGACGGATTTTTTATATGATAAACTGACCTATCCTTATTTATTCTATTCTGGGAGTGCGTCGATGGTGCTAGCTGTAGTTTCGATTGTAGTACTTATTCAATACGAGAATTGGGACCCAGTGTTAAATGCTCTACGTCGTGCCTATTCTAGCGTCTTTACTAACCTCACAATAGTTCGGTAGGTGGTAAAAAATAACATACTTGTCGACATTCTAAGTTGCTACTTTCTTCTACTCAGATACATTATAAATCTAAATAAGAAACTAATATTGAAGTAACCCTTTGATAGTTGAGAACAAAATGTTTATTTCTTTTTAATTGCATTTATTCTGAAATATTGCAAATACAGTTATGTTTTTACCTGCTTTACCTGCCTTAACGTCAACATGTACAAATGACTTTTGTTTTGTGCACATCTATGGCAAAGCACATTTCAAAATTATGTTTCATTCAACTCTTTTTATAATAAATACTGAAAAAACGTAGTACTCGATGTTCATGTATTAATATAATTTAATTTTTTTATTTCCAGGAGTAGAATTTCAGATCAAAATTCTGAACAAACTGAAGCTCTTATAAGTATTAATAGTGAACATGAAGCGTAAATAGTAATTATATTTTTTAAATGAACTTGTAATGTAATGATGGGCAAATTGAATTGCAAATCATTGCGGAGGTTGAGATTTTAAACGCTTTTCCAATTCAGGGAATTACAGAAACATCGTAATGTGCCTGAATTGACTGACAATAATTAAAAAAAAATGGGCAATCATTAATAGATATTTTTTTCATTTTGGTTGTTTTAAGGATACATACCTGGCAGTGTCTGTATCTCTGGATGCCCTAATTTTTCCAGTTTATTAGTTTTATAACTTTCATTTATTTAAAAACTATTAATCATTCTAAAACATGTTTATTGATATTTTAATCATATTTTCTTTTGGCAATAATTATCATTCAGAGAGACAGTTAAAGACCACAATTTTTATAGACGATGGACGCGATATGAAAAGTAGTATAATTGAGAGTATATAGTGATTTGCTTTTGATGACCCATCATTGTTATTAACAGTATTACTGTAATTTTCTCATGTGTCTGTTAAAAAATATGTAATATATTTAACTTAACGCAGAATATGCTATGTTTAGATATTTAAAACGTATAAACTGATTTAAGCTTTGTTTAGTTATTAAGTAGGTAAAGTTAATGATAAAATTGTGATTAAATATACACATACATCTTCTATTCTAATAAGTGGATTTATTGTATTTCAGTGATAAATATTTTCTTAGCACAAAAAGATGGAATTGTATATTCGTATTAAATTTGATTTAAATTGTCCTACCGTAAGTAGCATTTTAGATTTTTATATGTAGCATTTTAGATTTTTATATCTAAATGTATTTATTGTGAAGTTCCTTTAATGTTTGCATAATGTTAATTCTAACTTACCTGTAATATATTATCGATGTCTTCTTTAAATGAATATGTAGATAAATGTACTTTAAGACATTTACTCTTTATTAAATGTTAATTTAGTGTTCAAAAGATATATTCTATTTTGTATTTTTTTATATGTTGTATACTATTTAATTCTGTCATTGTATTTTTTAGATTGTGGAGAACATCTTTCAATTAATACCTAATTTATAATTTTTTTTATGTTACAATCCTTTAGGAGATAAAAAATAAATAGGTGTTTAAGAAAGCTATGAAAAAACAAGATTAATGACTTTGACATTTTTGATGCAAGTTTTATTGACGCTATTGAAAATAACGTTGATGTTCAAGATTGAAGATTTTAATAAGTGGTTTTTTTTATTGAAATTTTGAGATGAGCGAAATTAAATTACCAGTCGTTGGTGAGATAAACCCATACTTTTCAATTCCAAAAGTTATTATTCTACTGTTTTTAGTGAAAGATGATGTACTTGATTTGAGAAATAGTAACATAACTGAAGCTTCAAAAAATAACAGCATCAGACTGAAGAGAGAGGAAAGGTACTGTAATTGAGAGTTTTAAAATTTAAATTTATGAATGTCGAAAATTTTACTTAGGTCTCCTTCACTTAAATCAGTATCTCATACAGCCCTTGAAGTTAAACAGAATGTTCTAGGAGATTATGACCAAGAAAAAATGGAACAAAGGTAAAATTTATGATATTAAAGGAACCTCTGTTTTTTATTTAAATGTTATTTTCACTTATGCAGACACATAAATGCATTAAAAAGCTTAGGTAAAAATCAGAACTTGCCTCCTGTACAAAAAACATTAGAAGAAAAGAAACACAAGTTTCGATCTAGGACTCTCGATCCACGTTTCAGAAGGTTGTTGCGTTAATTTTAAACATTAAGTGGATATCTTAAAAATGTTATCAATTGTAGGTCTCGATCTCCTAACAAAAAAGTGACAAATTCTCAATCGATTTCTGCAATTAAACCAACTCATATTAAAGTTCATCATCGACCCAGATCAATGCAAAATTTTTCAAACAGCCCTGCTTTTTATGCAATGTAAGAAATTGTTTTAAGCTAGTTGAGCTATTCAACAAATGCTCTGATAATTTCATATTAATTTTTTTATCAAACGCAGTTCAGGAAATGTGTGGAAAAATTTTCGTATGCCTATGTGCATTTTTTTTTTTTTTTGATATAGGAAGCAAATAATGGGTAAAGAAAATGAAAACATTTGTGATTTTCTAATATCAAACAGTACTCACACTGAAATGGATGAAAATGTGCACGTTAATGAAAAAGGTACAATGACTGAAAATGTAGTTGCCTATGAAACGAAGAACCCCCCATTTGAAAACTTTTTAATAAACAACGGCAGTGGAGAAAAGCTGTATACGTAAGGTTTTCATACTTTTAAAATATCGATATCTATATACTTCTTAAATGTTGTAGTAAAGATTCTTATTGGAATGATCCCAAGAATTTAGATAAAACTCTTAAACCACCCTTAATGAGAGCAAAGTCATCAATATCATCTTTTACAACCAGAAAGTCTTTACAAAAGGTGGAAAAGCTTGATACAAAGATTTGCCCAAGATGCCGTCACTCTATCAGCGAAAATGATAATGATGCTAGTACATATGTATTTGATGATGTTACTGAAGTCACCGATATTCAACCCATATTTTTTGCGAAAATTACAGAAAAGATTAATAACTTGACCATACCTTTCGGTAAATATTATTAATAGCTTTTACCGCACAACTACATAAAAAAAAAGAAAGAAGAAAATAATCTAGACCATTTATTAAAAGAAGCTCTGCATGTTTTTAAAGTCCCAACGAAATTGGTTCAGTTTCGAATATTGACTTATATAGTCAGACAGACAAGTGCTGTAAGGGTCATTCGTGTCTTAATAGGATACAAGTAACCATATGAGCATAAAATAAAATTATTTCAATATTACAAACAGGCACTGAAATTTTATCCATATTATGTGTTGATACCATTATATGTAATTTTATTTCTTTCAGAAAAAACTAAACTTGATATCTCAAAATTTCTTATTGGATATGTAACTGCATTAATTATAGTAACGTTAATAATTGGAGTTTTTTTATTATTGGATCCCACTCCGTTACTAGAATTTATAGAAAATTGCTTTTATGAAGAATCATCAGAACCAGAAATACCAGAAACTGAAGAAAGTTTTCTGGATATTTTCAACTTTAGCGGAACTTCCTTATTTTCAAGAATGCATAATATTTTGGATAATATTGTTGATATACTTACCACAAAAGTAAGTTATTTATCTTCGTAAGGTTTTAATTAGTACACAAGGATCACATGTACTTAAAATTGCAAATGTATATACATTTTTTATTTTGAATCGAACATATTTTTTTTCTGTTTTTCATCTTTTTCTTTTAATTAGCTATCATTCACTGTAATTAAAGATCATCGTTTTGAAGTTATTCAAAATTTTCTGAACAATTAAAAAAAATATTTTAATTTCATAGAATGTAATAATTCACGAAGCTTTAATAACTCAATTGTTTTTATTAATTTCAGCGAAAACAGACAATTCAATCTGAAGTAGTCGAAAATAATGATAAATGGTGGCTTTTTTGATGTCTGTGATTTGTACCAATAAGTTGCACCTCCTTAGTATACGTATATATAATATTTGAAAGAAAATATAATAAAATGTAAGTTGACTTGCTATACAACTAAATCAAAAGTAATAAAGCATTTCTCAGACAAAACATAGTTTCAAGTAGAGACATAAAGAAATGTTGAAAAATTTATGTAATCTTAAGCAGCTTAATAAAATTAATTCTATAGCTACTAATTAAACAATTAAAAATGAAGATTATAAATCAAACATGACTCAAAAATGATGCTTTATTAAATAATGTCAAACATTTTATGCACGCCTGTTTAATGTATTTGTTGTTGGCTGTGTGAGCTGAAGTCCACTGATGTTGTTGAATTCCAACATTTTCAACATCTCTTTAGTTTCAGGATCAACTTCGATAATGTCATGTTCCAAAGCAGATACTTCAGGAACATAGTTGTCCCTCCTTTCACGTTCTTCTTCTTGTAGTTTAATTGAAATTCCCCTTACTTGGGAATGTCGAAGACGTTTCATTAAATGGGTAACGAAACCAGCAATTTTATTCCTGAGGGGTTTTGTGGGAATAATAGCAATTTCTTCGCATATTCTTTTGTTAGTGTGAAAATCTAAGGTTAGTCGGGTGTAGTACTTTTCAATGATCACTTTGGATGCTTTTTTTACTGTTTTGGTACGAACACGACCCATCTCTTAAAGTTAAAATTAATTCTTAGCTTAAAGGTTATTTATAATAAATCAGAAATATACAAACCTTAATTTAATTCTGCTAATAATGCAAAAGAAAACGTGGTCAAGCAGATGCAAATTTGAGGACGTCAATCATAGATAATAGATGGTGTCGGTTTTTTACCATAGACAAAAATACTGTCATTGGAAATTTTAAAATGAACTTATAGAATGGGTGCGTTCATGTAATTTTAATGTCATAACAAAAGGTTAAACCTGAGCACAGCTACTACTTTTATAAATTATTAGAGGTATACTGTTGAATTAAGTGAAGTGGAGTGAATAGCCGCCATTGTACATGTTCTAAATTATGAAGTACCTATTGCGGTCATAATATTCATGGTTAATTTTTCATTTGTATTCAGTTTCCAAGTAATAAAGGTTAGCAATATTTATTTTTAATAGAAAAGATAAAACATGTTAAAAAACATAAAAACATTTAATAGTAAGCGATTATTTAGACAGTACAAAACATTCTTACTATACTATAAAACTATAAAATTATTTTAAAGATACTAGATAGGTTTGAGTATGCAGAAGTAATGGGAAACACTTACAATAACTATCAAAAAAGTTCTCATTGCAGTTATAAAAAGTACACTTTTTTCATTTCCAACACCAGTAATCCCACATTAATCCACATTATAAGTGACTAAAAGTGGACAAATTTCTATTTAGTTTTCTGATTGCAATGTTGGTTGTGACATTGATTTTGGCCTCTTAAATAATAAAATGTGTGGTTCTAAAAACAAAGAATATTATTCAATTTAAAACAAAAAGTATTGTGACAAAGTTATAATTGCTGATATATTGTGCTTTTCTAAATCACATCAACTTGGAACCAGAGGTATAGTAATTTAGTTGCATTTATAAATTCATGAAATTCTGTTAAATGACAAGTTAAAAATTAATTCTTTTCCTGAAGGTGTGGATGGATATCCATTTTTAACTTTCTGTTTGCTTTTTAAGTTCCAGTAAGTATTTAGCCAAATTTCTTCTTAATATAAATAAAACGAAAAACAGTACCTGGCCCATGCCTCATATAATGTACCCATCCTTTACTCTGTTGAACACCAATTCCTCTCCATTCTTGTTCAGACATTAAGTGAGTTTTAGGAACTAATTTAACCATTTCTTTTGGTAAAACTACATGTCTAAAATACGGATTAAAATAGTATTGCTTTGTAAACTATCTATGGCTTCTAGAATGTAACACTTACCTGTATTCAAATTCATCATCACAATATTTATCCGAGTAGTATATATTTTTGTACATTTCTTCTAGTTTATCTTTGTTCATTATAATGAATCCACAGTGAAAAACAAAAGGCAACACAGTGCTCACTTTTTCACTGATTTTAATTAACCTTTTCTCCTTAACTCACAACTTTCTCGATTGATTGTAACTGCCAAAAATTTAAAACTTTTACGTCACATGCGCACTATGTTAAATAAGAAAAATGAAGTGCGTTCGACTATGTTACTCGGTAAGACTAAATTCACATTTTACCTTAATGCGAATTGTATAGTATTAATGGCATAAAGCGTTAATATGAAATTAAATTTTCCTTATTTTGCTCTTGCCCCTCGTTTTGACCGTTAATTATACCTAATACTACATTTAATAAGGTGTTAAAAGAAACGGTTTCACATAGGTTTCAGTAAATTGAAGACTGTATGAACTTCGGTGACTCAATAATAACCTAAATCCACCTAAATATTTCATAAAATAAATCGTAGAAATGGCATTATTAAATTGTATCAATAAACTACAAGTTACAGTTAATTACGCCTTAAAAATACAATATAGTAATGTTGTTGGAGGTAGATGTTTTAGTAACGAATTTATGTGAAGAATCATAATTAAAAAATTTTAGGTATGCTCGGGACAATAAAAAAGAAGAAAGGTAAATTGGGGCCTATGATGGAAAAGAAAGTTCTTCCTGTAGAAACTGATCCTGAAAAACTACTTTCTTATTGTTGTGGTTCTAATATATATAAAACAGGAGAAGATGTAAAATTAAAACCAGACAGTGAATATCCAGATTGGCTTTGGTCAATCAGAACTGGACCTCCTCCGCCATTAGAAGAATTGGATAGGAACTCAATCGAGTACTGGCGAAGAGTTAGAAAAATGGGGATGAGGCGAAACAACCAGCTTCAAAAATTAAAAAGGTTTTAAATTTTCTAAAATATTGTTTTTGTAAAAATATTTAGTCATTGAATGTTTAGTAAAACAGCTGTTTTCATAATGTTCTTTGAGTTTTGCATATACGTATATAAGCCAGAATTTATAGCTGCTTTTATCATTAATTGTAACTGACATTCCAGCTGTCTATCCTTTTACTCTAAACTCGATTAACTTTTAATTTTCATATTACAACTCTCCCTGACTTTCCAGTTTTCTTCTTCCAAATGTTATCCAATTTCAAATCTATGTGGAGGTGCATTTAATTCTTGTTGTAAATTCCTATTTGGGATCATACCAATTGTTTTTTGTTTATTATTTGATCAATTTTATTTTATAATAACAAATGCAATAAATGGCAATGAACCAAACATCCATTAGCTAAAGTGATAAAAATATTTTTTGAAAATGTAAAAAACAAGTTTTAAATGGCAGTCCCCAGATGTGAAATCCCAGTAAATCATTCTTAAAAATCTGTTTAATTTTGAGGTTTGCTGATTCGTCTGAAAAAATCGCAAAATAAGAGATTGCACTGTTGTATTAAGTAGAAGCAGCTTTAAATAATGAGCATGTGTTTTATAAGCTGAACATGTACTTCTTAATGAATTTGATGTTTAAATGAATGAGCTGATTGTATTCACAAAAAAGGATTATCGTGTTCGCGAACTTTTCAAATAAAAATAAAATTTTACAGCAAATTCATTTATTTACTGATAAATTCACAAAGTAATACTTATTTTTATTAAAATAGGAGTTAAAGTCTGCGACAAATATTAAAATGAGAAAACTATTCCTTGAGCAAAGTTTTTTAAATATAATTTTTTTTTTGTTATTAATAAGAAAGAATATTTGGCGTGTCTGTGTAGGACAACCATTTACATATATGTGTAACTTTAACGAATTAGGTGCGAATAGGAGCCATCAAACATATTTAAATAAACTTTTATTCTAAATGAAAAAGTTATTTATTAATAACTAATATTAAAGTAAAATTTTGACGCATATGGATAAGGCTCATTAACTAATTCGTTAAAAATTGGTATGAAGTACGACAAAATATACTCTCAACTTATTTGTACAGAGTCTTTGAAATTAGAGACTATGACTTATATTTCTAAGCACTTCCAGAACTTTCACCAGAACACTTTTTGTCATTGTCTCCATCTGAGGTAACGTTTTCTTTTTGATCGACTTCGGTAGAGTTGATAATTTTATCATGTAGTGTTCGAAGGTGCCTCAATAGATTGCTTTTTACGTTGAATCCTTTCTGACAATATTCACACATAAACGGTTTTTCCCCTGTGTGAGTCCTCTTATGAATAAGCATCGAAGCATGTGAGGGGAATTTTTTGTTACACGCGATGCAAATTTTGTGTCCATCTGGAATGGGTTTTACTTTCATGGGTTTACCGTCGTTTGTATTGGACATTCGAAGTTCGAATTCGGTGTGACTGTTTTCAATGTGACGAACCCATTCTGCAGGGGTAGAAAAGTACTCACGACAGAGGTCACAATGTAGTGGAGGAAACGAATTGTTTTCATCCTCCTGAAATTTTTTATATCTTGGAAAATAAAAAAAAATTGTATCAATCATAAAAAAAATGTTTCTTTTTAAAGTCACTACATATGTATTTTAAAATGTGGAAATTTCATTTCTTACCACATATGATCGTCCTCTTCTTTGCCTTTTAGCAGGAAGCATGTCAGTATGAGTTTGTATATGCTTCACCCAGTCACCTGGATGAGCAAAGGACTCTGAACATAATTCGCAAGTGAGTGGAGTGTATAACTCTTCTGATTTGCTGGCGTTACTGTTGTCTTCTACGATAATTTCTGGTTTTATGGTCATTTCATTTTCATAGAAATTATTTTCTTCTACCATTTCCATTTCACTTCCTTGAATATCGTTCCATTCTATCGGTTCTTCTTTAATAACAAAAAATTCTAGGTTTCCTGAAGAATTTTTGGAAGAATCTTTGGGTTTGGCTGACGAAACTGTTTTAATTTCTGAAGAAGGGAGTTTCGTTGAACGTGGATTTTCTTTTGTGGATGTTATTCTTGTTTTCGTTGCAACATCATTGGTTTCGCTAGACTTTACAGAAGATACCGAAGTTTGCAACTTTTTGCTTTCTCTAGTATTATCGTCATCATTTTTCGGGAGATTGCTTGTGGTGTTTACAAGTAGTGGGGTAACTTCTGAACTTTTTTTGTCAAAATGCACTAATTTTGGTACCGGTATAGAATACTGGACAAGGGACCTCTTTTCTTCATTTTTATTTGTTTTTTCCGATTCTTCCTTTTCGGGGGGTCTCCAAAGACCTCGTACTTTTAATAAATCGCCTCCTTTTAACACGTTTTCCAATATGTCTTTTGAAACAGTCGTTTCTCCGCTGTACATGTACTGTATGAGGACTTTCATAGTTTTGTAATTTATTTCTGGTGGAAGAATTATAAATAGGGGAAGAGTTGTGCTAACTTTAGATTGAATTTTCAGAACTTGATGGAGATATTGACTGCAAGCCGATAAAATAAACCTATGGGCTAATATCTGATGCCCATCAAATGTGGAGAGGCATACATCGGTAAAACTTGAATTGCTTAAAGACAAAGCTACACTGGAGTGAAGGTGGGATCCAAAAGAGTGCCATTTTAGCTGGTAATTTTCTGTTAGGGCAGCCATTGACACCTAAAATTTTTGTAAATAGTGCTCGTCTAAAAGTTGACTTAGAACCATATATGGTAATCATCTCGTAGAAAATACCATATGAGGAATACGAAATATAGGTAAGTAGCTCATATCAGTATCTAGATTTTACTGGATGTATTTATTTTAAGTGAAGCTAGAGAGGAAATTTATTGTTTATCCAAAAATAACTAATTTGAATATTACTAAATTTTTACTTTAAAGAGAAGCTAAGGATTGTTGTTTCTACAGAGTATAATATTAATATAGCTGTATTAATATTCGTTTATTCGTACATNAACCCTCGTATTTGGCTCAAAACCGAAAATTTTCATAAATTCCAACATTTGTATTGTTCGCATATATAATAATTACATTTTTAACGCAAAATGTATCAAACTTTAATCAAACTTCTATTTTAAACTTCCCCAAAAGGCCAAAAGTTTGTAGATAATTCGTTTAAAAAATATATCAATAGATGTCGCAAAGTTAAATGGCTTTAGACATTTTGTTTTTGAACAGCCCCCGTATATTACAAAGGGTTGTTTTTGTGGTCGCTGATGAAGTAAACCGGAAAAGTAATTTTATTGGCAATTATTTTGGAAGAACAGTTACAGAATTGCTGTATTATATCAGATATTACAAGTAGTGAAACACTACTGTGATTAATGAATTATTATTCGGTAGTCCAATCGTTGAAGGTTTATGAACTTAATGACGGATGTACGCGTTTCCGTGTATGTACGTATATGACGTAAAACCCAAAGCCGGCTTTTTATCGATAGAATCATTGTTCAATGGGGATGCTTAATAAATGCATCTTATAAATGAAAATGTACATACTAATATTTACCTTTATTTAATAACAAAACTATGTCGAACTCTAATTTCACAAAGGTTAGATGACAAGCACAACACTACCCTGCACCGAACAATATATCGTAGAATGACTGAATGAGGGTTGAGGGGACTTCCCAAAAATCGATAGAATTGGTCTACCTCTATTGATTTCTTTCAGCCAATCATATGAAGCCTTTATCTTATCGATCTGACGTTGCTTTACCCGCGCATATTTTATTGATTCTTCTGATGCTTTGAACCTCGTACTTACCCAATTTTATAAATCGTTCATTATTTACCTGTACGTTTATACCTACACGACGCTTTTTTTAAATTTTTTAATTAATATATTTGGGATAAAATTTTTGAAGGTTCCGTCATAAGCTCAGTTGTAACATAAACCTTTTATATATATTTTTTCCTAATCAAGAGCAAGTCATAAGTATTAATAAAAACACTGGTAAAAGAATATGGTGTGTTCAGTAAGTTAAAAATGGAAATAAAAAACATATTTTCAGTATTTTTTCTTGAACATTGTAATTACGAATTAGGGTATGACTGTTGTTTAAGAGACAACGTATGAAGCAATAAATATACCACACAGTGTGTAATAACATGTTGAGCACTTTATAATTATAATTATGGAGCACGTGCAGTGTGGAGTTCTAATGATTGGTTTCTACTTTAAATGGTTGAAAATCAATACTTTTCTTATTCTGACAGATTGTGTGAAAAAAGCCAACTATTAAATTCATTCTTCTTGGTATACAGTTGTCCTGAAAATAGTTATCTGTTGTATGTCTTTTCTCCGATTTATGTTTAATTTTTACGTTCACAGCTTATTAGTTTTTTAACGTTAGTTGCTAAATAAAGCAATAAAGATAAACAACGCTTTTTAAACAATTAAAAGCTGCATGTTCCGTTTTATTCACTTACTCCTGAGTTTATATTTAATTTATTATTCATTTTGTTAGTCATTATATTAAAAATAATTTTCATTTTTTTTTTAATAACTTAAAATTGTTATATACTCCATTTTAATCGAATTTTCCATGTTATTTAGATCCACATGTACTTTAAATTCAAATTGTGATACCTATTTTACAGTGCGAGTCGAAAATTTGTAGATAACTAAATTATTTGATTTTAATAAGATGATCTAATTTTATTCGATACATAAATAGTCTATGAAAATAATTACTTATGATTTTACCACACTTACCACTGTTAACGTAAATGAATTTCTTTTACGATTTCTGTTAGAGAAAGTTACTTATAATGATAAATAAGACAAGCAAAGGTAGAAAGAGGAGACTGTGGTAAATATGAATTAAAAAATTAAAAAGAAGACCCACCCACCCTAATTACCACAAAAAACTTTTTGTCTTGCGTTGATAATGCCCAGTTATGAAGTGGGCGAAACACGTGTCCGCTCAAAAAGTTTTTTTTTTGTAGCAATGACGGGTGAGTCTTCTTTTTAATTTTTTAATATGGGGTGAAGGTTTCTTCAATTAAAGTATATAATCAAACACCAACGTTTCGCTTTTAAGTGATAAGGTTTCTCCAGGGTAAGATTATACTGTGTTAAACATGAATTTTTTATATCACGNTAATTGAATAAATATTTTGTTAATGTTATTAAATTTATATTAATTATATTACAATAATAACTACATAATTTAACAGTAATGGTCAGGAGTCTAACTTATATTGATTATATGAATACTTTTTCATAACATTTCATTTTACAGGAACATTAGAAGAACTCCGAAATTATGGAGCACTGGTTGTACTAGTCCTCACTTGCCCAGAAAAGTAGCTGTAGCCATGATCCTAATGAAAGCATGAAAGTGCCTTTTTTCCATTGGGAATGAAGACAGTGTGTTAAAAAAAAGGATTTATAACAATGAACTGGTATGTAACATTATCAATTAAAAATAGAAAATGATATCTTCAGATAACTTCAATTTCTTAGACATTTGTAACTTGCTTCAATAGACAATTTTTAAACAACGTTTTACAGAAAGAGGTAATTAATTACTTTTTATTGCATGTTTCTATAGATTGTTGTAACAAATTAGAAGGAATTGGTGCTACTGAAAGTAAAATACGTTATTTTGTATATTTATTAATCAATCAAGTTACGCGTCAAGCCCTAATAATACATACAAGATAATGTGTAGAAGTTATTCATATCTAAACTGAAACAAACGGTTTAATCATTTATCCAAACTTAATATCATTTCTAATTATTTTTCATGTATTTTTAATCAATAGGTGTTACGTATAACTTATTTAACTCGCTCTCAATTCGACTGTATTGTTTCTTAAGTGCATGTTTCGCTATGATAGTGAACCGATTTTGATGATTTTTTTATTGGATAAGCTATATCTCAAGGAAGGGCGGCAAACTATTTTCTATTTTTATTATTATTTATTGCTTTATTTCCCAAGCAGGGTTTTGTCTCATCTTTATATAATTTAATTTTCCAGAACATCCGTAATTCAATCTACAATCATTATCTTCTTCTTTAATAATCCTTCTTCAAGTTTTCACTGTCTCTCTCGCTCTTGTATTCAGTTATTTTTAGAGTTTGGATCGGGCGATGGAACTTGCAAGAAGCAAAAACGAACATAAATTCAATTCTGTAAAACGGGAATGAAACTAATTATGCGATTGGTTAAATTACGGAATTTTTGCCACGAAATCGAACTTTTTTGTTTCTTATTGGCGTTTTATACGCGTCAGTAGTGCGTCATGTAGTAGCTTTCGCAATTCCGGGGCAAGCTTGAACGCGATCGGCCATTATAAGTTCATGGTGTTTCGAAGCGGTAGTATGTTTCTTTCCTGTCTTTTAAATTCTACCCATCGAGTTAATTTTTTCGCAGAATTAGCTTTATTTTTCTCTACCTGTAATACCCTGATAGGTTAGATTGATTAATTCACTATTTTTCGTAATTACCCAAATTAAATTGGCAAAATTGTTAAAAGTATATTGTGAAACAGACGCCATGTCGCCATTTTAAAATTTTACTATTTGATTTTGATTACGTGTTTTCCTTTTATTTCACGTTTCATTTACTTAATACGAGTGTTAAATTCTTCTTTTTTTATCTATTTCCCGTATATATATTTTATTTTTTTGCTTATTAATAATAGTACATTGTGTATCTATTATTTTAGCAGACATCTGAAATATTTTTAATTAAAATTAGTTAATAATTGTTTTTGTCCGTTTCTACAGATTGGCTAACAATTGAGGGAGATTGGAACTGGTATCCTTTGCTTACTGAAAAGATAAAGTCGTTTTAGCTGTTGACTTTTCATCTTGGAGCTCTTTTAGTTAATTAAGGTGAGCGTACATGCTATATAATATATATGTAGTGTATTTATTTGTTATTAACATAGAAAAAGGTTCGGCATTACTTTAACAATGCATCCTGCACGTTATTTACTTAAAATTAAATTATTTATATCTGAATTATGTAGTTTCTTCCAGGGTGGCGGTCAAATAATTACACAACTATATGTTTTTTGTAACGTTTCGGTTTATTTAATCTTCAGACTGAAAAAAATTTGTTTTTTACTTATAGTTCTACTAGTTAGGTGTTATACGTTTGTTTGTAAAATATAAATATAATCTCCATTTTAATCGAATTTTCCATGTTATTTAGATCCACATGTACTTTAAATTCAAATTGTGATACCTATTTTACAGTGCGAGTCGAAAATTTGTAGATAACTAAATTATTTGATTTTAATAAGATGATCTAATTTTATTCGATACATAAATAGTCTATGAAAATAATTACTTATGATTTTACCACACTTACCACTGTTAACGTAAATGAATTTCTTTTACGATTTCTGTTAGAGAAAGTTACTTATAATGATAAATAAGACAAGCAAAGGTAGAAAGAGGAGACTGTGGTAAATATGAATTAAAAAATTAAAAAGAAGACCCACCCACCCTAATTACCACAAAAAACTTTTTGTCTTGCGTTGATAATGCCCAGTTATGAAGTGGGCGAAACACGTGTCCGCTCAAAAAGTTTTTTTTTTGTAGCAATGACGGGTGAGTCTTCTTTTTAATTTTTTAATATGGGGTGAAGGTTTCTTCAATTAAAGTATATAATCAAACACCAACGTTTCGCTTTTAAGTGATAAGGTTTCTCCAGGGTAAGATTATACTGTGTTAAACATGAATTTTTTATATCACGTGGTATTTTTATTATTTATTATATTATATTACTTCTGGGGAAGCATTAGTAACTGTAAAGTTGCTTACAGTTAAAAACAAGANCGAATTTTTGATTTTTCCGTTACTTTCTGACCAACCCTCGTATTTGGCTCAAAACCGAAATTTTTCATAAATTCCAACATTTGTATTAGGAGAGCATAAGTTGCATTGGATCTTTTCCCAAATTTTTGATTTTTCCGTTACTTTCTGACCAACCTTCGTATTTGGCTCAAAATCGAAAATTTTCGTAAATTCCAACATTTGTATTAGGAGAGCATAAGTCGCAAAAGGTCTTTTTAAAAGTATCAATTTTTAGCGCGGGATTAACTATATCGAAGTCTTATTTTTCGTTCTTCTACATCGTTGGATATTGAAACGTTTAATTGTACTATTACTATCATAATTATGTTCATTTCCAGTATTATAACTATTAATTAAAGTTGCATTGGATCTTTTTCTAAGTTCAGAATTAAAGCGCGGGATTAACTTCACCNATCGTTCGGCCTTGAAACGTTTAATTGTACTATTACTATCATAATTTATGTTCATTTCCAGTATTATAACTATAAATTAAAGTTGCATTGAATCTTTTTCTAAGTTCAGAATTAAAGAGCGGAATTAACTTCACCTTTCTTACAAATAGTTCAGTTCTTGAGCATATGATGACTGATAATTTTCAAAAATTGACATAATTTCTTCTCTTTTCACTGTATTTGTACTATTTTATTCTTTACTGTTCAAGGCTTGAGGACAAAACTAAAAACACATACTTTATTTATGAANCGAAAAGTTTTGGAAAAAATACTTTTAAAAAGACCTTTTGCTACTTATGCTCTCCTAATACAAATTTTCAGATTTAACAAAATTTTCAGTTTTGCGTTATATACGAGGGCTGGTCGAAAAGTTTTGGAAAAAATACAATGCAACTTTAATTTATAGTTATAATACTGGAAATGAACATAAATTATGATAGTAATAGTACAATTAAACGTTTCAAGGTCGAACGATGTAGAAAAACGAAAAACAAGACTACGATATAGTTGATCCCCCGCTAAAAATTGATACTTTTAAAAAGACCTTTTGCGACTTATGCTCTCCTAATACAAATGTAGGAATTTACGAAAATTTTCGGTTTTGAGCCAAATACGAGGGTCGGTCAGAAAGTAACGGAAAAATCAAAAATTTGGGAAAAGATCCAATGCAACTTATGCTCTCCTAATACAAATGTTGGAATTTATGAAAAATTTCGGTTTTGAGCCAAATACGAGGGTTGGTCAGAAAGTAACGGAAAAATCAAAAATTGTTTTTTGAAATTTTGTTCCATAACTTTTCGACCGGCACTGGTATATGACGCAAAACTGAAAATTTTGTTAAATCTAAAAATTTGTATTAGGAGAGCATAAGTCGCAAAAGGTCTTTTTAAAAGTATTTTTTCCATAACTTTTCGACCGGCCTTCGTATATGACGCAAAACTGAAAATTTTCTTAAATCTGAAAATTTGTATTAGGAGAGCATAAGTCGCAAAAGGTCTTTTTAAAAGTATCAATTTTTAGCGCGAAATCAACTATATCGCAGTCTTGTTTTTCATTTTTTTACAACGTTGAAACGTTTAATTGTACTATTACTATCATAATTTAAGTTCATTTCCAGTATTATAACTATAAATTAAATTTCTCAATAGATGTCTTAGT